CTTCGGCCCTCCAAGTCTGCACCAATACATTTTGTCCTTTCATGTTAAAACTGTCTTCTCTAACAGGATCCGTATTCCTCTATTCCTTTCCTATTCATGTATTTGTCCAGGTGCTTTTTGAATGCTGTTATTGTGTCTGCTTCCACCACCTTCTCTGGCAGCTCATTTCAGGCACTCACCACCTTTTGTGTGAAAACCTTGCCTCATACATCTCTTTTAAACTTCCCCCCTCACACCTTAAACCTGTGTCCCCTAGTAATTAACTCCTCCACCTTGGGAAAAGCCTCATACTTTCCACTCTATCCATGCTATTCACAATCTTATAAACTTTTATCAGGTCACTTCTCAACCTCCTGCATTCCAGTGAAAACAAACCCAGTCTATCCACCTTTTCTTCATAGCTAAAATCCACCATACCAGGCAACATCCTAGTAAACCTTTTCTGTACCTCTCCAAAGCATCCACATCCTTCTGATAGTATGGTAACCAGACTGTGCGCTATATTCTAAGTGTGTCCTAACTAAAGCTCTATAAAGCTGCTGCATAACTTGTCTATCCTTGTACTCAATGCCCCTTCCAATGAAGGTAAGCATGCCTTGCCTTATCTACCTGTGCTGCCACCTTCAGTGATCTGTGGACCTACACACCCAGATCCCTCTTCATATCAACATTCCTAGGGGTTCTGCCATTCACTGTATAATTTCCACCTGTACTTGACCTTCCAAAATGCAGCACCTCACTTTTGTCCGAATTAAACTCCATCTGCCATTTTTCTGCCCATGCCTCCAACTGATCTATATCCTGCTGTATCCTCTAACAATCCTTGTCACTATCTGCAACTCCACCAATCCTTGTATTGTCCGCAAACTTAGTAATTAGATCAGATACATTTTCCTCCAAGTCATTTATGTAGATCACGAATAGCAGAGGTCTTAGCAATGATCATTGTGGAACACTATTAGTCATAGCCCTCCATTCTGACAAGCATCCTTCCACCTCTGTTTCTTATGACTAAGCGAGTTCTGTATCCATCTTACCAGCTCACCCTGATACCATGTGACTTCATCTTTTCGACCAGTCTGCCATGAGGGACCTTGCCAAAGGCTTTATGCTTTACTGAAGTCCATGTAGACAACATCAATTGCTATTCCCTCATCAATCATCATTGTCACCTCCTTAAAAAACTTAATCATGTTAGTGAGACACAACCTCCCCCTCACAAAACCATGCTGTTTATTGCTAATCAGTCAATTTGCTTCTAATTCTTAAGTCCTTATGAAGTTTGTAAGTTCCTGAGAATCAAACAAAATTTCATGCCCCCACCACACTCAGAGCTTAGCTGTTGTACAGCAAATGAATAGGATATTAAAGAATGTGTGAGTGAGTGTGTGAGAGAGATAGAGAGAGAGGGAGAAATAGGATGTGTAAGGGAATGGGAGTGAAAGAGAGAACATGTGAGGGAAAGGGAGGAAGAGAGAGAATGTGTGATGGAAAGAGAGAGAGAATGTATGGGAAATGTGAGAAAGAGAATGTGAGAGTGAATATAAGAGCGAAGAAATATGATATTGCGAGAATTAAGGACAGAATGTGAGAGAGGGAGAATGGCTGAGGAAATGTGAGAGAAAGTGAGGGAGTGTGAGAGACAGAGAATGTGCAAGGGAATGAGTGTGTGCAAGTGTCAGAGAATGAAAGAGAGACAGAATGTTCACAGGAATGAGAGAGACAGGGAGTGTGTATGTGTGAGAGAGAAAGAGAGGCAGTAAATGAGAGAAAGAAAGAGAGAAAATGTGAGAAAGAATCCAGCTTAGTTCTCAGTCTCTTCCTGGATTTGTGTGCACTCTTTTGCTGTTATGAGACAAAGCAGAGAGTTACAAGTGTGTGAAGTAGAATATATGTTGAGGTTGGAATGAGCTCTTTTGAGGAGAGTTCTGTGAAGAATGACTGTGGAGGCAATTGGATGAGGGTCAATGTGAGTGTTTGTTGAGATGAAGGCTAGAGGAGGCAGCTGGAGAAAAAGGAATGTATCCTCCTGCAAGATGTGTCAGTCAGAGAAGTGCTATTCAAGAGAAGACTAAGGTGATGAGACAGTGGTGATTGTAGTTGCGAGTGATAAGACACTTGCCTTTACAGAGCTAATGAAGTGATTTAACTTCTGGCAGCAATTATCCAGGTCTTCAGCATCACACTCCTGCTGCTTACAGACTCTGCTGTGTCCAGCTACATCGGTTTCAGAAGATTGATAGGTCTTCTCCCATCTTCACTGAAGAGGATTTATTTCGTCCCATCCACTGTTATCTCCAGTAACAAATCAGAGAATAGACAGTAGCTTTCCTATGTTTTCTTTCTACTATTGCGCCATTTTACTACCTCCGCAGTATACTTTTCTGCAGCCAGGGTCATGTGAAATAGATAGCCTTCTGTAACGGAGCTCGTGTGTGATTAGACAGGAAACCCACATGAGGGATGCTAATATCATGGCTGGTAAACAGCAAAGCCCACTCCTTGAATAATCGCATTTGCAACCTGCTACAGGTCCCTAGGTTGTGTAAAGAGCTATGATTTGAAATTCCTTTCTATGTGTCAACAGCCAACTGTAGTAAGCAATTTACTTTTAAATGCTCCTTAGCGAAAAAGATACTTACGACATTGCATTTGTTTATGTTATTCCTGATTTAATCTTCTGTTGCGAGCCATTTTAAATTAACCTGCCAAAATCTGAAAAATTGGAAAAATTTCCACTGGATCGTCCTTATTCTTCTCAGATACAGTGAAACAAGAGCTATTTTGTACAAGCTTTACCTGATATGTCCTATTCCTGACATAATTCCCAGGTACTTTGCAGTACCTTTTCTGTGTTTCATTACTTTATTATAAGACCATAACAAGATGCAGGAGCAGAATTAGGCCATTCAACTCATCAAGTCTACTCCACCATTCGATCATGGCTGATGTGTTTCTCAACCCCATTGTCCGCCTTCTTCCCATAACCTTTGATCCCCTTACTAATCAAAAATCTATCTCTGTGCTAAATACTCTCAAATGACTTGGCTTCCACAGTCCTGTGTGGCAATGAATTCCACAGAATCAACATGCTCTGGTTGAAGAAATTCCTCCTCATCTCAGTTCTAAAGTGTCACCCCTTCACTCTGAGGCTGTGCTCTTGGGTCCTAGTCTCTCCTGCTACTGGAAACATCTTCTCCACATTCACCCTATCCATGCCTTTCAGTATTCTGCAAGTTTCAATGAATTCCTCCCATATCCTTCTAAACTCCATCAAGTTCAGACCCAGACTCTTCAACCACTCCTCGTAGGAGAAGCTCTTCATCCCTGGGATCATTCTTGTAAAACTAATCTGGATCCCCTCCGATGTCAGCACATCCTTCCTTAGATATGGGCCCAAAACTGCTCAGAATGTTCCAAATACAGTCTGACCAGAGTTTTATACAGCCTCAGCAGTACATCTATGCTCTTATATCCTAGCTGTCTTGAAGTGAATGCTAACATTGCATTTGCCTTCCTAACTGCAAACTGAGTCTATATGTTAGCTTTAACAGAATCCTAAACCAGGACTCCCAAGTTCCTTTGTGCTTCAGATTTCTGACGCTTTTCCCCATTTAAAAAATAGTCTACACCTCTAATCTTCCTACCAAAGTGCATAACCTCACATTTTCCCACACTGTGTTCCATCCGCTACTTTGCCCACTCTCCTAGCCTGTCCAAGTCCTTCTGCAACCTCCCTGCTTCCTCAACATTACCTATTCCTCTGCCTGTCTTTGTGTCATCTGCAAACTTAACATCAGTACCCTCAGTTCCTTTGTCCAGATCTGGCTATAATAGTACATCCAGAATTGTCCCAAGCAATATCAACAGCAGCAATTTTGACTTCAGTCAAAAAGTTATGGGTTCAAATTCTACTCCAGGACCTGAATACATAACTGTGCTGATACTTCAGAATAGCACTTGAGAGAGTACATTACTATCAGAGCCGCTATCCTTCATATGAGATAACTGCTTGCTGGTACAGAACTTAAACAATGCTAAAAATGACACAAGGTTGAAGCTTTTCATCTTGCACGGAACTCAGGACTAAAACGCAACCAATGTTTATTTGAAATGTTAATCCAGGGACTCATATGTGAAAAACTCCAAGGAACAATTCAAAGAAATGGATGGAAATACTCTTAGTATCTTGTAATATATGTTCTTCAAACAACATGACAATGAATCTATCAATAGATTAATGATCGTATTTTCTGTTTATGGAACTCACTGTTCGCAAACAGAATGCTCTGTTGGCCCACACAACACAACAACTACATTTCAAATATAACTAATTGGCAGTGAAAGACTTTGGGACATTCTGAGAACATGCAGCCACTGTATAAATGCCAGCCCTCTCTGTTTTCAAATTCAATATCATTCTTGTACCCAATATTTTACATATATATGATTAGAAATTATATTTACCTAGTCTTAGCATAGTTGATAGATATTGTTTCACTTACTTCTAAAAGTTAATTTCTTTGAATTAAATCACATTCATCATATATCTGTCCGTACCAAGAATCATTGTCCTACTTCAATTTCATATACTCTTGTTCAGTTTAGCATGCATTGAAAACTGGTATCATTATAAACATCAATGCCAATCCACTTGGACCAGACTCTACTACTATACAAGTTCCAGAGCTCAGGGCTACTCACATTCCATCAATCTATACAATATAAACACTGGCACCTTTTTTTGCTTTAAAAATATCTGCCCCATAAATCTCCCTCTAAATCCAAACTGACTTTAGTCAATATACTGTCCATCAATGAGGTTTATTTCTAAAATGAGAATGCACAGACTTCTCAGAATTCAGGCAGAGATTCACCTTGTACTGACAATGTCTTAGCTCATGCCAAACAGCAAATGTAAAACTGAACTTGTTAAAAAGGCAATAGGTGATAAAATACATTATTTAATCCTGGGAATCATAGCAAAAGTAAGTACTCACCCTAAGTATGCATTCATACTTTGAACACTTGCAGGGAAAGGACTTCCATTGTCCATGTCGGTAATGCCTGCTTGTTCCAGCAAATCTTTCTGGCAAAAAGGTAAAAAGGTGTATACAATCCATAATTGCTAGCTTCAAGAAAACCTTTTTTTTAAAAAGATTAAAACCTTTCTTTAGTTCCAGTTAGAGACTGAATTACACCTTTATACCCTGATTCAATTATCCCTGAACCTCTATCCCCATCACTTAAAGACTGAGCTTGGTTGCACGTTTTAACCCCTTGGCTGATCCTAGTAGTTGCAAGTGGTACAAAAAATTGCCAAGATTTTCCAGCTGTAGTAATAGGAGGCAGCAGATCTCTCAACATTAACGCACATTGCAGCAAAATGTGACAGTTAATTCTGCAATTTTAAATTGACCCTGATCAATTTAAACTAATTCTTTAGCTTTGGAAAAGAGGTTAACTTTACATGACTACAGCAATTCTACATTAAAAGTACCTGACCAACTGCAAAGTACTTTGGGACATTCCAAGATTGTGAAATGCACTTCTTTAATAGTAATGGAAACAATTTTAGTATACAATTAAGTTAAAATATGTAACAAAAAGGGTTTGTAGTTGCAACTTAAAATCTTGTGTAATTTGTCATTCACACGAAGGGCCATTATGTCAACTGTTGATTCAATTGATGGAATTCTGGGTCCCTTTGCCCAGGTCACAGTGATTTAATCAATATAAATTACTCCTCCTATCTCAAAGATATGATATGAATGAAGAATTGACAGAGGTATCTTTGCATTCCTAGGTGTGTTTTAGAGACCACCTATAAGTGGCAAAGATGAGGCCTTTTATTCAAATATAGACTGTGTCAGTATTTGTGTAAAGAACCAGAGGCAAGCCTTGTGTTTCGGTGAAATTTTGTATGTTTCCAGTTAAAGCACGAAAGAGCCATTGCTGTTTTTTAACATTCGTTCATGGGATGTGGGTGACATTGGCTAGGCCAGCATTTATTGTCTATCCTTAATTTCACTGGCTTTGAAAATGAGATCGAGTGGATCCAGTGCCAAGTGGCAATATTAGGAGATAGTGATCATAGTGTGATAAGGTTTAGATTACATATGGAAAAGGAAAGAACAATCCAAATTTAAAAAGTAAAAATTAATTAGAGACTAATTTCAATGAGCAGATAATGTTTCGAGCCCAAGTAAGATGGAATTAAAGATTGGCAGGAAAAACTATAAAGGAAGAATAATTTGTCTTCGTAGTATAAGTTTGGGTATAGTTGAGGTGCATTCCAACAAGGGGGAAAGGTAGGATCAACAAATCTATGAACGACAAAAGACATGGAAAAAAGCTGAAGCAGTAAAATAATGCATGTAACAGATGTAAAGTTGATAAAATAATGGAGAACCAGCTTGATTGCAGAAAATTGACGAGAAAATAAAAAGAAATGAAAGAAGCAAAAAGAGAGTATGAGAAGAGACTGCCAACAAATGAAAAACAGAATCTGAAGTTTTCCAGAATAATATAAATAATAAAAGTTTGGTAAATGGATGAGTCAGGCCAATTAGGGACTAACAGTTTTATACTTGGAAGTTGAGGCCATGGCTGACATGATTAAAAAATTAGTTAGCATGTCCTTTACCAAAGTTATAGTGGAGAACGTGCTTATTGAAACACTGTACAGCGAGTTCTGCAATAATGCATGTTCCAGCAATGCGAACTGGCTATAATGCAACTGACGAATAGGGCAACGCTATTTCTAAAACACAAACTTGTGTTGGCTATAACGCAATTCCATTAGTGCGCAGAGGAGTATGTGTTGACATCACATGATTGTTTTGCAGGCTTTGTCCTGAGCACATGCAATGTTAGCACTGAAAGAGTCTCCACTCCGCTATCACGTGATCATCATGTTTTCTGTGAGAAGTACAGTTCTCCGGTTTTTTGTGCTAATTCTGCCATGTTACCCACAAAAACGCGAGGACAAAGTGACAAGAATATTAGCAAGAAGTGTTCTGGTGATAAAATTGCCGGTGGTGAACGTAAAAGAAAGGCTATAACATTGGGAGAGAAGCTAGATGTTATAAAGCATTTTGAGCGTAATGAGAGAACATGTGATATAGTTCGTGTAACAGGAATAAAGGAGTCTACCCTATGCACTGTTAGAGACAACGCAAAAAAGGTTAAAGCAAGCTGCATTGCTGGAACAAGTCTGAGTGCGAGCAAATCTGTGAGGTCATGGACAAAGGAACTTGAGCAGATGGAGAGGCTTCTAAGTCTGTGGATAGAAGATCAAACAAAAAAGCCATCTGGGACCACTTTTCTCACCATAGAATAGAAAGCCTTACCAATTTATGAAGATTTAACAAAAAACGCTGAAAATCCTGCAGATGTGCCTGCCTTTAGTGGCTTGCTTTAAGAACTGCTATGCTTTTCATAACGTAAAGTTGTGTAACAAAGCTGCCAGTGCAGATGAGGAGCATGTGATAGCATTTCCTCCCATAGTAAAAGAAAAATAATTGAAGAAGAAGGCTACAACTTAGATCAAATTTGCAATTTGGATAAGACAGCTTTATACTGGAAGCGAATGCCATCAAGAACCTACATTTCAACGAATGAAGCACATGCTCCAGGCATTAAGGTAGCAAAGGATCATATGACAATGCTACTGGGTGCCAATGCCAGTGGAGACTTAAAGCTTAAGCCTGTGGTGGCCTACCGCTCTGCCAACCCATGAGCCTTGAAAGGTTACCTTACGTCTACTCTAGGTGTCCAATTTAGGTCAAGCAAAAGAGGTTGGATGATGAGGCAAATTTTTTCTGACCTTATTGTTGATGTTTTGGAAGATGTTTTTAGAAAGTACTGCAGAAAGAAAAAAATGGATTTCAAGATTCTCCTCATCCTGGATAATGTGCCAAGCCATCCTCCTACCATTGGTGAGATTTCTGAAAACATCAAAGTGCTATTTCTACCCCCAAACACAACTTCTCTCCTTCAACCCATGGGCCAGGTTGCAATAGCAGCTTTTAAAGTTTATTATTTAAGGTGCACATTTAAGAGGCTGATTGCAGCCACTGAGGGACATAAGGACAATGTTCTTCAATTTTGGAAGAGCTTTAACATCAAGAATGCAATTAACACTATCGTGGAGGCCTGGGGTGATGTCAGTAAGGACTGCTAGGATGCAGTTTGGCGGAAGCTTCTCCCAGATTTTTTTCAAGATTTTAAAACCTTTGATCTGTCAGAGGAGCTCCCAAGAATCAAAGAATATTGTGTTGATCTTGTAAAGCAAGTTGGATTTGAAGAAGTGGAGAGTGAGGATATTGAAGAGCTGCTTGAATCCCACTGTGAAGACCTCTCTACAGCTGATCTACAAAATCTTGTTGCTGAGGGGGATGTAGAAGCTGGAGATGAAGAAGATGAAGTCCAGGATGTAGCACCACGAGAGCTTTCCACTTCTGTTTTGTCTTCTATTGTGAGGGAAATTGATAAGTAGTTGCAGCTCTTAGAGGACAATGATTACAATGCAGAACACAGCAGGATAGCAGCTCATGGAATAAGATCTTATTTGGCACCCTATGAACAGCTTCTTCACAAAAGAAGAAACAAGGCAAAGCAATAAAAATAGGATTTATTTTAAGCTAACCCCCAAGAAACAGTCAGAAGACAATGAACCACAGCCATCCACTTTTGGATTAACTAATTTTCACCCTAACTCTGCAACCAGAACTGCACCTGAAGATGATGATGATGTGATGATGATGATGATGATGATGATGATAACGACGGTGACCCTCAGCCCCTGCATTAACAACAGAGCAACCTCAAAACCTCCTCCCCTATCAAGTCATCTTAACATTTTTTGAAGATAAGGTGTTAAATTTACATTTATTTCATTATTAGATATAATTTAAACATTTATTCAAATTGTGCTATTGCTTGTGTCAGGGCTTTTGAGTGACTTTTCAGCGATTTTGAGTAATATTTTCTGGTGGGTCTGCCCTAACCCAGCTTTCCCCATAGGCCCTGTTATTTCTATAGCACAATATTGCGCAAGAACGCAACTGTTGTGTTATAGCAGAACCCCCCATATGGGCTAAAAAATCTTAAGAAACTTCAATCTTAGAAAGACTGAGTATGCTTAAAGTTGCTCAATCAGCAGGACCAGATAGACAGTTGTGAGAATGCTGAGGGATTTAAAGTTGGAAACTATGAAGACACTGGTCATAATACGCTAATCATTCCACCCCCAGATACTGGAGTGATGTCAAAGACTGCAGAATTACAAATGTTACACCATTGTTTAAAAAAGGGTGCAAGAACAAGCATAGAAACTACCGACCAGTTATTCTTAATCTTTGTTGTGGGTAAAGGTAATGAGACAAAATTAATAGTCTCTTAAACAAATAATTAAAGAACAACAGCACTGATTTGTTATGATTGTGCTTTCTCATATGGTAGCAGAGGGGATTAATGAAGATAATGCAGTTAATGTGGTGTATCTGTACTTACAAAAGGACATTTGTTGAAATACTACATGCCACTGTTAGTAAAGTCCATGGATTTAACAGTACAGTCACAGCATGGAAACAAATATGGAAGTAAGAGTAATCAGACAGTAGTGATAAAAATAACGTTTTTCCAAATGAGGAAAGTATATGAGTTTTAAAAGGATTGGTATTATGCCCACTACATTTCATGATCTTGTTTATTAAAACCTAGAACTGGATATCCAAGGTACAATTTCAACATCTGTGAATAGCATAGAAATCGGAAACACTTCAAACTCTAAGGGGGATGGAAGCAATAGATTTCAAGAGGGCATGGACAGGCTGGTGGAATGGACAGACGCATCACAGATGAAGTTTAACACAAATAAGTGTGGAGTGATACATTTGGGAGGGAGAAACATTTTGGGAGGAAGCCTATTTTCCTTAGCGGGAAAGTGACTAATAAAGCATCTGAGTCCTTGGCTTTATCTCTTTAGGAAAATAGAGGGCAACATCAAGTATCTTACAGTGAAATTTTGTAAAATATTGGTTCAGTCTCAAAAGGACAATTGTGTCCAGTTCACGGCATTTTAGGAAGGAAGTGAATCTATTAGAAATAGCGATGAAAAGATTCATGACAATCGTTTCAGGGATAAGGCCCTTCAGTCACAATGGTGAGTGAGCATCTGTCACAACTCTCCTTAGAGAGGGTTCAGAAGACCTTGAGAATAGGTGTTCAAATAAGCAAAGGATCTGGAGAAAGAAAGTAGACAGAAACTGTTCCTATTACCAGAAGAATCAAGAACCAGAGGACACCAATTTAAGGTGAATGGCAAAGAACCAAAAACAATGAAAAGCACATTTACCCATACTGTCATTAAGATCCAGAATAAACTGCCAGACAAAATGATCAAGATAGATTCAATTGTGGCTTTCAAAGAATTTTGGCTAATTATCTGATGAGAAAAGAACTTGCAGGACATTTTTCCTGTTCACACAAGGAGCTTAACAGCATCTAAGACCAGCTTATTTGACTGACACTCTATCTAACACCTTCAACAATCATTACCATTACCATCAATGCACAGTTGCAACAGTGCTTATCAGCTACAAGACGCACTGGAGCAACTCAACGAGCCTCCTCCGAACCTGTAAACCCTACCAACCCAGAATGATTACAGCAGCAACTGTATGGGAGCACCACCACCTACATATCCCAGCGAAGTCACACACCATCCTAACTTGGAACAAGACTGCCATTCCTTCACTGTCACTGGGATAAAATCCTGGAAACCCCTTCTTAATAGCAATGTGCGTGCCCCTAGAGACTACAGCGGCTCAAAGAGACAGCTCACCACCAACTTCTTCAGGGCAATTAGGGATGGGCAATAAATGCTTGCCAAGCCAACGATGCCCTTATCCCATGAATAAGTCACTAAAAGGCTCTTCAACATTCTGGAGACCCTAGTTAACAATGGTCCTGTTAAATTTTTCTGAGATAGGGACAATACTCCCTCTAATTTTTCTTCAATGCATAGACTTCCAAGTGGAGTGTCCGGAACATTGGCGTTACCACGGAACAAGTGTAGTTTAGACAGAATGCTGGATAGGATGTAGGATACAGCCAAGCATGCTCTCTGTTTTATTTGGAGCAAAAGAGGATAAATTTAAATTCTTGATTCTTCATCAGAATTAATGGGTTGTGGTGAAGTATCTGTCTGAACATCTTGACTAACATCAGCTTGCTCATCTACATTGCCCAGGACCTTACTGTCACTGGTTACTAAGCAATTACCATATCTGGTCCTCAATGATTTCGCAGGAACAATGGTGTCAAGTAACCCTTTAAAAAGAAACTTCAAAGGAATCAAAGAAGTGCCTGATTAACTGTGAAAATGTTGCATTTACAGTGATAGGCTGTCAACCGATAATATCAGACACAAACTAGAGTGTTCATCTGTTAGAAATAAGCCTGTGGAGTTGTGCTGTTGTGTGTTTCTTTCTTAGCCACAAGAACAAACCTCATTTAACAATTAATAACATTGCCAGAAAGCAGAACAGAAAGACAGTGTTCCTAGTATAGCAGCAGTGGTTGCTGAATTACTGAAATACTTTCAAATGCTCTTCGTTAAGACTGATTTTCTGCAGTTAAATGATGCAAAAAGACAATCACCTTCTTTTGCTTTCAAGTCCTGAAAATAAGGTGAAAATCACAGTATACAATTGTGGTTACAAGGAGGAATAAGGGCACTTAGAACCACACAAGTTCTGAAGAGGAGCTATATTGAACTGAAGCATTAAGTCTGTTTATCACTCTCCAGAGAGGCTGCCAGATCTGCTGAGTTTTCGGCATCCCTCAGTTTCTGAGAATGTTTTAAAACTGCACCAATTTTCTGTTTTGCTAGAAACACAGCAAGTGTAATAGTGTTTGTCTGAACATACTAATCGATCAGTGTTTTAAAATGTAAAAGCAAGGAATGTATTAAAATGTAATCATGAAACATTTATCCCAAGGGCAAAGAAAGTTCATAATGTTGCAGATATGAAGAAATGTTACGTTCAAACAAGGTGAACTTGGTAAACTCATTCCATAAAGTTTTTAAGATTTGTAACTCGGGTTGTAGATGAGGTTGTAGACTTGCTCACCAAGCATGTCTGTTTGGTTGCAGAATTTTCATCACCCTGCTAAGATGCTTCACCAGAGGCGCACTGACGATGTTACCTAGCAGGGTGACGAAACATCTGCAACCAAACACAGCGGCTCGGCGAGCAGGACTACAACCTCAAACTCATTCCAAATTTATTTCAAACAATACTATTTATGATAGTGTAAAGTTTGAAATCTTATGTAATTTCAAATAACATGGTTAAAAATATACGACCAATGACCACGCAACAGTCAGGCTGCAAAATTCGGCTCCATGCAATCCATTGTTTTGGTTCTTTAGTTACATATTACAAATGTTAGAGGCCCCAATGACTTTATTGTGGGTGTTAACATGTGGTGGCTGCATGCACTCTAAACATACAAAGTATGCAAGTTGTGATGTTCATCAATGTGCAGCACTGATTTGTTGCTTGTACAGACATTTACAACCTAACTAAGGTTATTTCTTAAACACAACCAGTTAAACATGTGTTCAACAGCAGAAAGGACACCTTCCAGTACTAAAGGATATCAACCATTTTCTGATTAGTTGCTGACTAATTTCTACTAGTTCTGCCTGAGTTTGTAGAAATGTTGGGAGCTTTACACTGCTTTTTAAATTGGTGAAGTCAATATGGAGTGAGTGATAGCGCACATGGAAAAATTCTTGTTTTGATTTTAAGGGTTTTGGAAAGCCACTTGCTCCTGTCATTCAATAAGATCATGGCTGATCCACATACTCATTTAACCTCAATATCCTTTGATTTACTGCCTAACAAAGGGTGGCACAGTCAGATCATCTGCTTCCAGTTATGGTTACTATCCTCCTTGGCCTGAAGCAATAACAGAGATATTGAGAACAGGCTAAGTTACTTTCAAAGGGAAGAGAAAGAAATGGTTGGGCAGTGGTCTCAGTAACAGATCGCATCCACCTAGGGTGTTGGGAGAACATTCCTCTTACCCCAGTCCAAGCAAAGAACAGTGTGTGCATCATTTTCATTCTATGAATGATGTATTCTCTGACATCTGTCCCTGCTTACAGACAGATTTTCAGCTTCAGAGAAGCCAGAGCTAGTACTGACTGCTGTTGCAAAGGTGACTGTAGCCATGAATTTCATCGTTCAATGCTGCAGCAGGAAACATCTCTAACATCTCTTGGTTTGGCATTCACTGCTATATTAGGGAGGTGACTAGCACTACAGCTATTGGTTCCCCTTTATATGCCTCATGAACCCGATCCTCAAAAATTCTTCTAAAACACAACTATTCTCTTCTGAGGAAAGTTGGACTGACTGAGCTATTTCCACTGGAATTTCGAAGAGTGAGATGGGGAACTTAATATGTAAGATCCTTAATATGGTAATATGGCGATCATAGAAATGATGTTTCCTCTTGTCGGTGAATGTAGAACCAGGAAGCGGTGCTTTAAAATTTTGGTTCGCCCTTTTAGGACAGAGATGAAGAGAATTCTTTTTTTCTCCGAGGGAATTCTCTGCTTCAGAAGCCTGTGGAGGTTTGGTCATTGAATATTTTTAAGGTAGAGGTAAATAGATTCTTGTTAGGCCACGGGAATAAAAGTTATTGGAGGTAAATGGGAATGTGGAATTCCAAAAACAAATCAACCATGGTCTTATTGAATGGCACAGCAGGCCTAAGGGGCCAAATGGCCTATTCTTGCGCCTCAGTAAAATGTTTGTAATTGTACGGAAGAAACGATTTTGACATTTTCGATCTTTGTTGATATCCTATTATTTTCTACATACCATCAACATTAAATCATCTCCTGTCACGACTCCAATCTTCAAGTCCAGATCTGCTTTCTTCACGACCTGCTGCAGAGCCGCAGCACAAGCGTGAGGATTCACACCTCCAGCATTGCAGACTACACGGATACCTGAAGCAAAAGCTAAGTACCTTTAGGGAACTTGTTTTTTCACTATGTTTAAAATTAAAATATAAGTTTTTACTGATTATTGTTTTGATTTACTTCCTCTTCCAAATTGTGTACGCCTTTTTTTGTTTCACAATTGCCTCTGAGTCTTTGACATTTTGGAACTTTTGCAGTTGTGAAACAAGATAGTAAGAGTCAGCCAAGTATCTTACCGTGGAGTCATCATGGTTGAGCCTGATTTGGTTCTTGTTCAATATGTACATGCTTTGCAGCAACAGTCACAGAATAGTGATCAGCAAAGAAAGAACGAATAACCTTGCAATTTTATAGTGCTTTAGAATATACTCATCACCAAAAAGTGCCGTATTGCAAACTGTTTTAAGAGCAGTTACTTCTATTTTGGAGGTAAATGCAGCTGCCAATCTGTACTCTGCAAAATTCCACAATCAAAAAATTAATCTGCTTTTGGTTGAGTTACTCGAAGGAAAAATACTGTGTAGAGCAGTAGGAAAATTTCCTGCATTCTTTGAATAATACCACATGGTATTTTACACCTATTATAAGCAGGCAGCTTCTCCAGCAATCATAGCAGGGTCAGTAGAGATTGTGCAGTATACAAATCCATAAAGAGGCATGAACTTAAAATCTTCCGAACTGAAACTGACAGAGATACCAACTGATGCAAACTGGGGAGGAAACATTGATTTTTGTTTTTCCTGCAAAGCGCAGAGCGATTGCCAATTTGAATTGCTTGAACTGTGCCAGTTGACATCAGTCAGCTTAGTGTCGGCCTGTGACAAAATGCTGCTAAGCTTCAAATGAGGCAGTACATTTTCCAGTTATGCTAGTTAAGGAACTGGTAATTTTCTGTTTTTCGGAGGAGGATAATAAATCTAAAATTATCATTAACTTGTTGAATTTGATTGAAATTCACCTCATTATGGATGCACCTTGTAAGTGTCACTTAAGTAAAAAAAAAATTTGGTACATACTGTAAACGTAAAGTTGTCAAAGCCCCAGGGCACCGTAGGATGGCTCTCTCCTTAGAGAGAGAGAGAGAGAGAGAGAGAGAGACAAACAAGTGGTCATTGAACCTGAGGGTTATCAAGCCTCAGGTAAGAGACAAAGTCAAGAAAGTGGAACCTTCACGGCAACTTTGGCCAGTACAGAAAATGAACACATGCTGTTGGTGTCACTCTGCAACACAAACCAGCCATCCAGCCAACTGAGCTAACAAACCACCTATACCATAAACATGTTATTTGTTACTGTAAGAAACTTGTCCTGTGTTTCATATTTGCTTGACTTTGTTCATGCAGGAACATAATAATGTGCATAAATAGTGTAAGATGGCCCAAAATGAGCAGAAAAGTCACGAGTTGGAGCACACAATAGTCTTCAGTGATTTGAGGTTGTGGGGTGGGGGGGAGGTCCATGATTATTTCTGCTCAAGAATATATCTGGGACCATAATTTATGTTATAATCTAATATGATCCACAGGAATGCCCAAGACCTAACAGAATGACAGAACAGCTGATAGATACATTAATTCAGTTTAATTTTGTCAGCATTGGTTGCATAAATATAGCCAGCTAGTAATGCAGTAGTGGGGGGTGAATTTTATGGAGTGTTGTTAACTGAAAAAAAGTTGTCATGAAAAGTATGGATTCGGAATTTCCTTAAACACACTTACCTTTAGGGCATAACAGTTCAAAAGTCTCACAATAAAAGACTGATTCAAAATTTGCCGGCTATCTGTGAATAGGTTAGGACCATTAGGAAATATTTATTTGTTCATTGTTAAAGTTTTTTAAATGAGGAATATCAAGTCTAATGCAAGTCAAATGCAATCAAACAGTCCAATTTTAGGCTCTGGTATACTGTTTAATTTCCTTCTATTTTGTCTCAAAATACTGCTTCAGCTTCAGAGGAGCAGTTCATACTGCTCCAGCATGAACTTTTCTCTTCTCTCATACCAGTCATCATAATAACCCTTCCACATGATATTGCCAATTCAGTGCTAATCTGTGCTGAAGTCTGGGTGGTGTGAGAGAGAACTAGGGGAAACAAATTTGTAGGTTTTGCAATTTTCTTGAAAAAAAACATAGAAGACGACTCGTAGAATACAAATATGTTTACTGCCCCATTCCTCTGCTGCCATTTTTGTAAATCAGACCAGAAGGATTTGCTCCTTCTCCCAGCTTACAAGCAGAAACTGAAGCATGAGGATCTGGTACAGAAAACTGTACATTGCTGGTCTGAGGTAACAGATGAGCTCCTAGTGACTGCTTGGAGTCAGTGGACTGGTCCATATTCAAGAACTCAGTGGCAACTTAAATGAGTATGCCACTACCTTCACAGACTTCATCAGTAAGTGTGTAGAGGACTGCGTGCCGAAGAAGTTAATCCAAGTGTTCCCAAACCAGAAACCATGGATGAACCAGGAGACTCACTCCCGAATGATGTCTAGGTCTGAAGTTTTCAAGTTGGTTGACCCTGGGCCTATACAGGAAATCTAGATACAATCTTCCCAAAGTCATCAGGGACGCTAAGAGACAATACCAGACTAAACTAGACTCCTAGGCTAACCACATGAACAAATCGACTGTGGCAAGGCTGACATGATATAACAGGCTACGAAGTGAAGTCAAGTAGAATTGCTGATAACAATGTATCCCTCAATGATGAGCTCAATATATTCTATGCTCGTTTTGAACAAAAGGTCAGTGAAGTGATGCCACCTGCCGCCCACAGCCTCGGGTGCTCCTTTACCCACAGTCACTGCAGCAGACGTCAGATTGATCTTCTTGAGAGTGAACCCACGCAAAACAACTGGCCAAAATGGAGACCCCGGCCATACACTCAGATCCTGCACAGACCAGCTGGTGGAAATATTTGCAGATATCTTTAACCTCTTCTTACTCTGATGTGAGGTTCCCATCTGCTTCAAGAAGACTACTTGGAGATGGTAAAGACTGCAGATGCTGGAAGTTAGAGTCAATAAATGTGAAGCTGGAAAAGCACAGCAGGTCAGACAGCATCTGAGGAGCAGAAAGGTCAACGTTGACTTCCCTGCTCCTTGGATGCTGTCTGACCTGCTGTGCTTTTCCAGCTGTACATTTATTGACTTAAGAAGACCACTATCCTCCCAATGTCAAAGGAAAACTAGGCAACGTGTCTTAATAACTATCGTCCGGTGATTCTGACATCCATCATTATGGTTAGTAATGGCACACATCAAATCCAGCCTCCCAAATTGCCTTGATCCTCTACAATTCACCTACAGTCACAAAAGGTCTACGGCAGACGCCATATCCCTGCCTTATTCCTGGAAATATGGGTAACAAGAATACCTATGTGAGACTCCCATTTACTGATGTTAGCCCCGCCTTCAACACCATGATTTCAATAAAACTCATCCCCAGACTCTGAGACCTAGCACTCTGCTCCCCACTCTCCAACTGGATTCTTGGCTTCCTGGCCAGCAGACCACAGTCAGTAAAGATAGGCAACAGCACCACCTTCACAATAATCCTCAACACCGGTGCCCCACAAGGCTGTGTACTCAGCCCATTACTATATGCCTTGTACACTCATGACTATGCGGCCAAATTCAGCTCTAACCCCATTTACAAATTTGCTGATGACACCACTGTAGTGGGTTAAATCTCAAACAATAATGAGACAGAGTACAGGAAAGAGACAGATCGCTTAGTGGCATGGTGTAAAGACAACAATCTCTACCTCAATATCATCAAAATGAAGGAGCTGGTTATCGACTTCAAGAGGCAGAATGGAGGATGTGCCCTGTCTGTATCAATGGTGCTGAGGTGGAAATTTTTGAGGGCTTTAAATTCCTAGGTGCTAATATCACCAATGATCTATCTTGGTCGATCCACATCGATGTCATAGCCAAGAAAGCACACCAACACACTCACTTCCTGAATGGTCTAAGGAAATTCAGCGTGTTCACAATGACTCTTACCAATTTTTATAGTCGCACCATAGAAAGCATCCTATCTGGATGCATCACAGCTTGGTATGGCAACTGCTCTGCCCAAGACCACAAGAAATTACAGAGTGGTGAACACAGCCCAATCCATCACGAAAACCAGCCCTACTTCCATTGATTCCGTCTATACCTCCCACTGCTTCGGGAAAGCAGCCAGCATAGGCAAAGACCCCTCCCACCCTGGTTATACACTCTTCCACCCTCTTCCAGCAGGCAGAAAATACAAAAGCTTGAAAACACGTACTAACAGATTCAAGAACAGCTTCTTCCCCACCGTCATCAGACTTAAGAACAGACCTCTTATATGGGCAGCATGGTGGCTCAGTGGTTAGCACTGCTGTCTCACAGCGCCAGGAACGTGGGTTCAATTCCATCCTTGGGCGACTGTCAGTGTGGAGTTTGCACATTTCCCCCGTGTCTGCATGGGTTTCCTCTGGGTTCTCCTGTTTCCTTCCAAAGTCCAAAGATAAGCAGGCTAGGTGGATTGGCCTTGCTAAATTGCCCCATAGTGTTCACGAATGTTTAGATTAGGTGGGTTATAGGGGGATGGGTCTGGGTGGAATGCTCTGAGGGTCGGTGTGGACTTGTTGGTTTGAAGAGCCTGTTTCCACAATGTAGGGATTCTATGATCTATGATATTAGAGTTGATCTCTATGTGTGCCTTCTCTGTAGCTGTAACACTATATTCTGTATTCTGTTCTATTACCCTGATATACTTACGTAAGGGATGATTTGTCTAGATAGCACACAAAACAATACTTCTCATTGCACTTTGGTACATGTGACAATAATAAATCAGATTAAACAGAGAATATATTTAACTTTGTAGTTTTTCACCTTAGGTTTTAAACTACAACAATGAGTTTTTAAAAATTACTTTTAACTAACTTATAAAAGCAGTAAGAAAACAAACCATGACTGTCAAAATTACCTCTTTTATGAATATCCTTAATAAATGGGACCATAGCAACCTCCACAAAATCTGGCACGTATCCATGATTCTGAAAAAAAAGACAGGTTTTACTGTTTCTGTACACATGGGAATGCATCATAAATCAAAATGCAAAGACATTAAAATGAATACGAAGTACAGAACATTGATACAGTACACTGTGGTACACGAAAGAACAGAAATGTGTTCAATTAAAAATCATCAACCTGAAATGCTAACTGATTCTTTCTCTAAACATGCTACCAGACAGGTTGGGTACTTACAACATTTTTTGTTTTTACTTCAGAAATGCAGCTTGGGTTTCTCACCTGTGATCAGTTGCACAGTGAAGGTGAGGTGCCCACCCCGTTCCCATTGTGGGAGAATGAGAATGAAAGGAGAATTGCTGCAGATATGTACTTCTGGAAAAATATCAGAAAAATATGGAAACGAGTCACCTACCATTAGCCAAGGGAGATGTATAATCAACAAAATCAGGGATGTAATTTGGACCTTGAGTGAAAGATTTGAATTCTTAATTTGCCAATTTGATCCTTAAAAGTGAAGAGAGAAGTGCCCTTGGCTAAGGGGCCCAAGGAACTAAACTTTTAGAGGACAAATGGTTCAGACAGCGTATCTCTCATATGGAGACAATTTACTGTGTAGCCTGTTAAGATGACAGGAGAGCAGGACAAGTCTACTATCTGCATCTGCAACACATTGCAGAAAACTTTGCTGAAATGTGCATAAAACCATAAGATGGAGGAGCAGAATTATGCATTTGGCTAATCGAGTCTGCTTCGCCATTTGATCATAGCTGATACATTTCTCAATATTCTTCTGTCTTCCTCCCATAACCCTTGATCTCCTTACTAATCAAGAATCTATCTCTGTCTTAAATACACTAAATGTTGTGGTCACCACAGCCCTCTGCAACAATGAGTTCCACAGGTTAACCTGTTAACTTAACAGGTGGCTGAAAGAACTCTCATCTCAGTTCTAAAGGGTCATCCCTTCACTCTGAGTCTGTGCCCTCAGGTCCTAACCTCTCCTACTAGTGGAAATATCTACTGCACATCCACTCTATTGAGGTCCTTCAGTATTCTATAAGTTTCAGTCAGATCCCTCCTCATCATTCTCTTGAGTGCAGACCCAGACTCCTCAGCCATTTCTCACATGACGAACTCTTCATCCCCGTGATCATTCTTATAAACCTCCCCTGGACTTCTTACAATGCCAACACATCTTTCTTAGATACAGAGCATAAAACTGCTCACAATATTCCAAATGTGGTCTACCCAGAGCCTTATACAACATCAGCAATACATTTCTGTGCTTGTAATCTAGCCCTCCTGAAATCAACGCTAACATTGTAATTGCCTCCCTAAGCACCAACCAAGCCTGCATATTAACCTTAGGAGAATCCCAAGTTCCTTTGTGCTTCAGATTTCCAAAATTTTTCCCTGTTTAGTAAATAGTCTATGCCTCTATTTTTCCTCCCGAAATGCACAACCTCACTCTTTCCCATATTGCATTCAATCTGCCACTTCTTTACCCACTCTCCTATCCTGCCCAAGTCCTTCTGCAGCCTCCTCACTTTGTCAACACAACCTGTCCCTCCACCTATCTTTGGGTCATCCCAGAACAAGCTTGAGACAGTAACAGTGCCAGGAAATTCATTCAGCAGCAAGGGTAGGGATGGCTTCTAAAGTGGCTTTGCTATTGTTACTTCACTAGACACTTTGTGCTGGATATTTCCACAGGGCTTCCAGGACCTGACTGGGAATATCTGGTCTGTAATTATATTGGCAGTAACACTTTTGAGCATGTGCCTTGCACAGATGAACTAGGCGGGATTAATCACTGCTCCAAGCTGAGAACCTCTGTGCAAGGTGAAGAAAACATAAAACCCATGCCACCGTAAAAGAACCGACACCTGTCATGAAACACTGAGCAATAAATAAACTTCTTTGACACTATTTGTGAAGCATGTCCTAGAATTAATTCACCTGCTTCCCTAATGAAGCTCTGGTACAGATTGTACACTAAAGTCCCCTCAAACACCCCCAAATAATATTTGGATACATGATGTACAATGACCTGGCTACATCCCAATTATTTAACAAGAGAAACACATTCTTACAGAAGATTTGGCTTTAGCAGCAGCGAGCAATGACATGGTGATTTCAGACAGGTAATCAAACACCAGAAAATCCAGGTTTCCACCAAACACCAGCTGTGGAACTGAAAAAAGACAGATGAAAATTCTCTTTGAATATAGACTTACAAGTCCCTCATTAACCGCCTCCTCTCACTATATGGCATATTATTGTGCTCACTGGATACTGGAGTTTTGAAAAAAAAATTTTCCATGTATTTCAGATTAGACTACAAATGAAAACGCTCCTTGCCAGAAAAAAAATACTTTAATGGGAGACTAATATATCTGTAATTCTTTATTTCTCTGGTCTCTATTTTCTGTCTGGTTTCTATTTATCTGATCTCATCTGTTGTGCCCCCACTCCCTTCTCTCCCAGTGTTATCAGCCATCATTTACACCAAAGCTGGGTTTTATGACTCATTTTCTTTCATGAACCTTCAAATAAATATCCTTGGATGACAAGTTAAATATGCTGTGGAATTTAATGGTTATGTTTATTTGTGATTTGAACTGTCACATTTCCTCAAAGTGGACAAAAACACAAAACTACCAACAGTCTCATATGGAATAACATTTCAGCCCAGGGTCATTGGAACTATAACATGAAATATAGCTTTGGCTGTGCTATTTACAAAAAGTTGCAATTTTAATGGAGACAGAAAGTGGTGGAACTTCATTCTAAAGTCTTAAAACTTCTACCTTAAAGACTCTCTGCTTCTAAATGGAAGCATAATAGTGCTGTCCTTAATAAGCAAATGGTCCAGCAAGATGTACTGAGGAAGAGATACCCAGTGAATTGCAAATGCCTAAGGGTTACTTGACGGTTTATACCACTCTACCATTAGCTACTTGAGACAGCAGTTTATGCTGAACCTCCCCATGAGTTGCTCTGTTTTCACATCAAACCCACAAAAGTTAGGGCTGCTACCTAACATTGAGTGTCATTACCTTTTTAAGAGTCAAAAATTAAATGATTTTCGGAAAATGAAGAGAACGACATCACTTGAAGGAAGCACAGGCCTTGAATATGCTGAAGAGAGACATCTCATGGCTGTGCAATTTTACTTCTGTGCTCATCAGCTCAAATATTTTGATGTGTAGATTACTGGTAGTGTGGGCTATTAACAGTGTTGGAAGGGTGACTCATCAACCACTCCAGGACTGAAAAGGAACAATTTAAACCAGGGAGACTCATTCCTATGAATAGTAAATTGTTGCCAGGGACTTTTACAGTTTAAGTGATTTTTCTACATTTCCTTTCAGCTTCTTTTTTCTTTGGCATAATCTGATTTTTTTTCTTCCTCACCTTACTATTTTTTCTATTCCTGATTTGATTCTAATTTAGCATTATTCTGTCATCCCTCAATTTCTGTCTCAACTACTCAAATCTCAATGAAAGAAACAGTGTATTAGTCAGTCATTCACTGATGTTCTACAAGCCCAGTCACCCTTCCAACACTGTTAATAGCCCACACTACCAGTAATCTACACATCAAAATATTTGAGCTGATGAGCAAAGAAGTAAAATTACACAGCCATGAGATGTCTCTCTTCAGCATATTCAAGGCCTGTGCTTCCTTCAAGTGATGTCGTTCTCTTCATTTTCTGAAAATCATTTAATTTTTGACTCTTAAAAGTAGACTTAAGGAAAACTTAAAATAGATCCTTATAGACATATTGAAACACTTGCAAAACAATCATGGTCTTCATCATTTTAAAACATCATGAATTATTATTTCAATTTATATTTGGTGTTATGTATTTTTAAAATGATAGTGTATCTCATGTAGTTAGTACAACATGTAGTTGGTACAACACACATCAAATAGAATTTGAGACAATGAAGACAGAACTTCTGCTAGTCTTCAGGCATTTCAACACAAATTAACTAAGACGCATAAGGGAAAATGAATGGAACTGTAATTTCACAATACATTGAAGGAAGTGAATGATCTTTTATTGACGACTGAACACAACAATCTACTGGGGAGTGAAATTAGTTTGCGTCAATGCCTGAGAACAGTGGCTCATATATCTCAATGGTAGAAAATTTCACTTTCTGCATCAATCATCAAGTACCAACTACACTATTAGCCATATTACAATTTGGTCTCGGACGTCCACATATCTATCGATGGTCTTCAAAATGGTCAAACCATCTTCATTGGTACAATTTTGAGGTTGAGTATTTTGCAACTCAGTAGCCGACATGCTTACTGAGACTTCTTTTGCAGACAACTTTATAGAACAAATTGTAACATTGAAAACTATGTGATTGTTGCAATTTCAAACAGCCACAAACCTTGTTACACGAGAAGAGTTCAAGGTTGACAGACCAGTGCAATACTGAAAATAATCACCTAAAAACTGATAAACATGAGAAATAAGGGAAAAATGGTCCTGTGCTTTTGAGTATTCAATGAACTCGCATTGTTTTATGACAATTCTATCATATGCAAAACTTCAGTCGTTATCTCAAAAGCCTTACAGCAATCATTTTATCCACATAGGACATCCAGGTGTAAAGATGAAACAAAGATCCTATGAAGCAGACAGATGGTTAGGATCATGTCACAGTGTAGAAAAAAATCATGAGAAACTGTGTAACTTGTATAGTCTGTAAAATCAGTTGACTGCACCCTCCAACTATGCAAACAGCCCCATGATCAACTATTCCAAATTGATATTTTTGAAGAAATATAGGCAATCCATAACAAACAACATTTACTTGTTGCTCATAAGCCACACAGAAAATGACTAGAAATTGCTACAACAAATTCCATAACTATTACATTGGACATTGACATTTTAGACAAATTATTTACAAAATGGGGCTTGCCAGAGATTATTACTACTGTATGGACAATGGACTTCAGTTTGTTTCCAGTCATCATGGAGTTCCTATCAAATTGTAGCAAGTTACAGAATTTGTCCCCAGCTGACATCATAAGGTAACCCACAATCAAATGGTGTCATCGAACAGTTGAATAGAGCGCTCAAGGACAATCTGCTAGCTAGAAATTCCACCTCAGATTATTGTGAAAATGGAGCTGTGGCAGAAGCACAATAATGCATGAGTACAATATGGTCCTATTTTCTGCTCATATTTGTTATGTTCTTAGGATAGTCAAATCAGCAGTTAAAGCTTATTACCAATTTTATCCCAGCCTTGTGCCTGTGATGTAACACACTCCAAAATGATTCATTTGATTTTGTTTTTGAGGAGGGTGTGGTGTTCAGAAAAACTAAGTGATTTGAACTGGGCATGCTAAAAGGTCAGAGATAGTAGGAACTGCAGATGCTGGAGAATCTGAGACAATAAGGTGTACAGCTGGATGAACACAGCAGGCCAAGCAGCATCATAGGAGCAGGAAGGCTGACGTTTCGGGTCTAGACCCTTCATCAGAAATGGGGGAGGGGAAGGGGATTCTGAAATAAATAGGGAGAGAGGGGCAGGCGGATAGAAGATGGATAGAGGAGAAGATAGGTGGAGAGGAAACAAACAGGTCAAAGAGGCGGGGATGGAGCCAGTAAAGGTGAGTGTAGGTGGGGAGGTAGGGAGGGGATAGGTCAGTCCAGGGAGGACGGACAGGTCAAGGGGGTGGGATGAGGTTAGTAGGTAGGAGATGGGGGTGTGGCTTGAGGTGGGACGAGGGGATAGGTGGGAGGAAGAACAGGTTAGGGAGGCGGGGACGAGCTGGGCTGGTTTTGGGATGCGGTAGGGGGAGGGGAGATTTTGAAGCTTGTGAAATCCACATTGATACCATTGGGCTGCAGCGTTCCCAAGCGGAATATGAGTTGCTGTTCCTGCAACCTTCGGGTGGCATCATTGTGGCACTGCAGGAGGCCCAGGATGGACATGTCGTCTGAGGAATGGGAGGGGGAGTTGAAATGGTTCGCGACTGGGAGGTGCAGTTGTTTATTGCGAACCGAGGGTAGGTGTTCTGCAAAGCGGTCCCCGAGCCTCTGCTTGGTTTCCCCGATGTAGCGGAGGCCACAACGGGTACAGCGGATGCCGTATACCACATTGGCAGATGTGCAGGTGAACATCTGCTTGATGTGGAAAGTCTTCTTGGGGCCTGGGATGGGGGTGAGGGAGGAGGTGTGGGGGCAGGTGTAGCACTTCCTGCGGTTGCAGGGAAAAGTGCCGGGTGTGGTGGGGCTGAACGGGAGTGTGGAGCGGACAAGGGAGTCACGGAGAGAATGGTCCCTTCCGAAAGCAGATAAGGGTGGGGAGGGAAAAATGTCTTTGGTGGTGGGGTCGGATTGCAGATGGCGGAAGTGTCGGAGGATGATGCGTTGGATCTGGAGGTTGGTGAGGTGGTACGTGAGGACGAGGGGGATTCTTTTTTGGTTGTTATTGCGGGGACGGGGTGTGAGGGATGAGTTGCGGGAAATGCGGGAGACACGGTGGAGGGTGTTCTCGACCACTGACGGGGGGAAGTTGCAGTCCTTGAAAAACGAGGACATCTGAGATGTACAGGTGTGGAATGCCTCATCCTGGGAGCAGATGCGGCGGAGGTGAAGGAATT